AGCAGAAGACACTCAATAAATATTTTAGTTCATTATTGAGTCTCCTGTCCAGCTCTGTGTATCTAACTCCCCATGGGGAGGAACGAGGGAGAGTCCACCTCACAGGTGAGGCACAGCTGGTTTCTAGCCTCCATCCTCAGAGCTAAAGCGATCTGAGCCCAACCATCAACAGGCTCAGCTCCTAGGTCTGCTTTCAGTGGCACTGAACTAGCTCCTGAGCTCCGCAGTGGTGGCAGACACACCATCCTCAGCTGGAAGCCAGTGTTGGCTCTCTGGCCTCTCCCTTGATTCCTGCTCCTAAGCCCCCAAGATGATGGCACATAGGCCCTAAAGGCTGCCTCACAGGCCCCTCCTAAGCCTGGTAGTCTGGAAAAGTTCCTCTTGGTATTAGGACTCTTGTGTTTTAAGCCCCAGAGTGATGATTGGCCCTAGCCCCTGGGGTCAGACTCTTCTAATGCTGAATGCTGGCCTGACCATGTTGTTTTGTTTTATTTTGTTTTAAGAGAAAAAGAGAGAAACATCGATTTGTTGTTCCACTTATTTATGCATTCATTGGTTGATCCCTCTGTGTGTTCTGACCTGGGATCAAACCCACAACCTTGGTGTATCAGGATGATGTTCTAACCAACTGAGCTATCCAGCCAGGGCTGGCCTGACCATATAAATGCTGCCCCTGCCCCACAGACTCAGCTTTGCAGAGCTGCCCAGCAATTTCACCTGGTCACCATTACACGGGAGCAGTGATTCCCACAGTGTATTAGTCCCACTGGAATGTTAGTAAGCGTCAAAAGAAAAAGGGGTCCACAGTCAAATATAAGTGGGAAACACTGGCCCAAAGAAGTTTCTTTGCTACAGGACTTATCAGAGCTTTAACATGCCAGTGTACACTGTGAATCTCCGAAGGTCAGGGGCACTGATGAAAATACAAGATTTTCCGAGTTTAGTCATTCATGAACCTTTGCTTGCAGTGGGGTGCTGCCGGAGCACTCTCATAAGGCACATGGTTTGGGAAAGGCTACTCTACACCCTGACTTACCCTGCAGTTGCCCTATATACACAATACTGTCTCCATCACAACAAGACATCTTTTGACCAGGACACAAAGGCAGCATTCCCCTTGCTGTCCTGACCCAGCGACTGGAGCTTCATCCAAGACCCAGCTCTTCCCCGTGGGCTCAGCGGAGCCTGGAAACGTGACGACATCCACAGCTGACTACTACACGACTGGCTTTGCCAGAGTTGGGAAGTGAAGTGGGGAAGAGAGGGTGAGAAAGGGCGAGGGAATGAATGTCATCTTACAGAGTAGAGCATCAACAGCCACTGCCTAGAGCAGATGGAAAAAAAAAACTAGAAATGTGAGAACATGCGTCAAAACAAAAGTTGCAAAAGCAATGTATAGAGGAACTAAAAGTTATGATAGAAATTGTATTGGGAGGAAGGGGGAGAAGTGTGCATAAGCCAAATCCTCTTCTAGGAAGTTATTGACTAATATTTAAATTGACAAATATGAAAAAGAATAATACAAGCACAGTATTCAGAGATAGCACCAATGTGATAAAGAATATCCATTCCCCAGTCTTCCTACATTTAGGAATTTCAGCTTGACATTTGGCTGCCTGGCTAAAAACTACACTTCCTGTAGCTAATTATGGTCTTGTGATTAAGGTCCAGCCAACAGAATCTACTGATGGGATGAAGACAGGAAAGAGCCTGCCCCCGCCCCTTCCTGCTGGCTGGAATGTGGGAATGGCAGTAGGGCAGGGGCAAGCACCTCAGACTACAAGGTGGGAGCCACGCGTTGAGGACGGCAGGATAACAGAAGAAGCCTGAATCCAACACTGCGAATCCACCATATCAGCCTTGGATTGCCAACATACATACTACTAATCGAAAGAAATCCTCCTGTAGTTCAAGCTGCTGTCAGTGGCCTTTCTGATCACAGCCAAACCAACCTAATAAGTAATACAGAATGTGGTGCCCCGGAGGAGAGCTCCCAACAGCAAGGATCCAGACATTGCAGGCTGGAAAGCTGGTGACTCTTCATGAAGCAAAGCAAAAAAGTTGGTAAAACCACCATCACCTGCGACACTCAGAAGGCAGTCAGAGGGCACCTGTAATTGAGTGCACCTGTAACTGAGGGGCGATGTTGCATATGTCCTGAATGTTGGTGCATGTGCCTTCTTTTTCAGGAACCTCCAATAAAAGAGAGATGAACTCTAGTGGACCGAGACCTTGTACGAGCAGAATCGAAAAGGAAGACTCAGCCTGTAGCTGACAATCCAAGCTGACCAAGAACCCCCACGTCAGGGGCTCTGAAGAGACAGCCTCAGCAGGAGATAAGACCACGGCCCTAACCTTTCTAATCACGATTCACCTTTCTCAGCTCCACCAATGAACCCACGAAGGGAGTTCTGTGAAGGACACAGAGAGCCCAAAGTCAAATTAAGAGAGCTTCCTGCTCATGCAAGTTATTGTTTCAGATGGCCTCAAAGGAGGCTCGGGGTAAGCACATTAAATTAGGAGAGGCAGGTGGGTCCAGGGCACAGGCCACTAAATGAAAGATCAAACCTTCCAGGGTTAAGAGCTCAGATAGGTCTACACTGAGTCAGAACTGATTAGAAGCCAAAAGACAAGAAGCCGCTAGTTTTTTTATGAGAATTGTGTTGCTGAAGAAACCACAGTGCGGGTGAGACAAAAGCTTGTAATTGTTTCACCCCTCCAGCTCCCCTCCGGCTCCCCAACCCACACCAGCAGGAAGTGGGCTGCAGAAGCCGAGTAGCCCTCCATAAGGGCAGACTCTCTTCACTCCCCACTTCGAATGAGGCCACAGAAAATAATGAACAGGGCACTCCCCCCAACGCCCACGCCCCCTCCACCAAGGCAGCCAGAAGTTAAAAAACAGGTGTTAGAGCCGAGGTTCTTAAACCTTCATCTGCATCGGATCAGACACTACCCCAGGAGTTTGTGAATCAGCAGATGAGGTGAGGCCCAGGAATTTGCATTTCTAATAAGTTCCCAGGTGCTGCTGACAAATAAGATCTGGGAAACACACTTTGAGAATCCCCAGTTTACTGAAAACAAGGAGCTGCCAAATGGGCCAAGCGAAGGGCTCACTCCCCTAGCAGAAGGGACCTTTTACAATTCCCATCAGCCAGATTTGTCACCTGCTTTAACAAGCACTACAGTGTGTTTCTCATTTCAAATGAGAGTTTTGATTGAATTCCTCCTGTTCATATCCCACCACTGAGAGAAAAGACTAGTGTGAATCACCCGTAAATCCTGAGCCTTGAGCTGAAGGAAGGAACTGATTCCAGGTCTGTCTCCCCTGGGGAACGGGTGAGATGTTTTCTGTGTGGAAGAGAGGTATACATGGACACTCGGACCAAAGCGGAAGACTGTAGGGAGACTGCTATCCCTCCAGTGTTTCTCCTTCCTCTTCTAGAGTAACAGAACCTTTAGTAGTGCACTTAACCTCCCAGGTAAAGATTACATTTCCCAGCCTCCCTTGCAGTGAGGTGTGATCATGTGACTAGATCCTGGCCAATGGGCTTAAGAAAGCAAGTTAGGTAGGCAGCTTTCCAGACACACCCTTCCTACTGGCTGGAATGTGCACGCTGGGGCACAGAGCAGCCCTCTCAGGTAAGGGTCAGCAGCTAGGTGTCCAAGATGGCAGAGCAATGAAAAAGCAAGAACCAGATCCTCCACACCATGAAACGGTCCCATCAGGCCTGTGCAGCTCGGCCTGAAACCGGAGAGAGAAATGAACTGTCTTATCTAAATCACTGTAGTCTGCCCTTCGTCACAGCAGTGAACCTGAAATGCTAACACAGGAGACTACCGAGAAATGGCTAGGAGAGTAAAAACAGGTGACAATGGCCAGATTTGCTGGAGGACAGAGTGGGTAGCTGGGAAATAAGCCTCCTGTACTACTTTATTCTAATCTTATGGCCTCTGATGTGTGACAAATTGGATAACATGGTCTTCGTGATTAAGGCCAAGAAAATATCAAGAAACAGAGACCCACACACCCCGCTCTTCACACCATCAGACCAGCTGCCACCCACGGTACCTGGTTTCAAAAGACTTTGGGCCAACATGGCCCCCCAAATGCTCCCACACATCACCTCTCAGTTCAGGCCCAACCTTCAGAAAGCCTCTGTCAAATACAAATGTTATGAGCTGGAGACATAGTTCTCTAAGGAAGTCACTTTCCACCTAGGTCTTTAGGTGTATGTGATTGTCAAGCACTGTTTTGTGAAAATCTATTTAAAGCCCTTTAAGTGGTAGGCAGAAGTCAGGTTCTCAAACTGCCAGAGACAACTGAGCAAGGTCATAAACAATCTTCAACAAGTACCTGCAAAATAAGGTTTAATTAATACTACAATTAGGGAAGGGAAACTGGCTTTGACCAGTTGGAACACAGAAACTTAAACTGCTTCACACACACCCTCTATATTCACCTCCAAAAGGTAACAGAAATTTATAGCACTTTGTTTTGGGGGGAGCGCCTTGCCCCATGACTTAAAGCAATAGTGAAAGCAGCCGGGGGGATTTGTGGATGTGGAGGCAGGCTTTAATCTCTCTTCTTCCAGCAATTTTCATCAGCAAGGCTGAGGGGAAGAGAAAGAGGTTTGGAGGGCAAAGGCAGACCTCGCAGCCCTGGGAGGACAGAGGCAGCTGGGACAGGAAAGCAAGGATTTGAGTCAAGTTCTGTGCAGGAGAGGCTGACAGACAAAAACAGCACTGTTTCCTAAAAGCCCAAATGCTGCGTTCTGCGATGAGAAAAGCTAAGGAGGGGGGCTCTGCACCCAGACAGCCTGGTGTGGCCTCTGTGTCCACCAGTGACCAGAGAGGCAGCCCCTGTGACTAATTTCTTAGTTGGATGGCAAATTCTTTCATCAAAGTTTTTTTGAAGATTAAAAAAGGTCTTAAAGCCAGAGTGTAGCTCCTGCCAAAACATGCTCGAGGGCCGGCCACGCGGGACCGTCTTGTTTACTCACAGTTCAGGAGGATCTGGGCGGCACGGTAGAGCTCCAGGTGGTGCAGCAGGTCCAGCAGCTGCTGGACGGTGGCCTGTCGCATCCCCCACCACCACAGCAGCTCCCGGGTGATGCTCACACCCTGCACCCGCTCCATCGACTTGATCTTCCGCAGCTGGGTCAGGTCTGTGATCACATAGGAGGCTGGAAGGCAAGTTGAGAGGACCTGCTTAGAGTTAGAAAAGCAGTCCCTCTCCAAGAGGGTCAGCATGCTAACTAGGCTTTGCTCACCACACTTTCCCCATCTGCCCACTGCCAGACCTGAAATTCCACCATCAGCTGGAGTCCACAGGCAGCCCAAGTTATAATGTTGATTCCATGTAATACTCACCGGGACCAGCACATTAACACTTGAACCTAAATATCAACTTTGCTGCTGCACAAGACTTTGGAGAAAGACCACTGGATGCTCGGGGTCAGGGGCCTAGAGCTTTAGCTGTTTATTTGCTCTGGGTGAGCCACTTCCACCACGGAACCTGTTTCCTCGACTGTGACAGCGGGGTAACAACTTTGCCTGCCACTCCCCCTGCAGAATAGAAGCCCATATAGGAGCTTTACGTGTTCTGTTCACTAACAGATCCCCAGAGCAGAGAACAGCACCTGGCACAGAGTGGGTGAGGCAGAGGAGGTGCCCAGGGGGCAAAATGTAAGGAGGGGCTCTCTCTTAGGGCTGACTGTGCACTGTCAGACAGGCCAGTAAGCCAAGACAAGGGGAACAGGAAAACAGACAGGTAGTTAAATAACCAAGCAGTTTATAGCTATACAGTAAGTCGTAAATCCTATCTTCCCTACCCAAGGACATTGAAGAATAAGTGGTTCAGCCCTGGACAGGTAGCTCAGTTGGTTAGAGCATCATCCCAATACACCAAGGTTGTGGGTTCAATCCCTGGTCAGGGCACATATAAGAATCACCCAATGAATGCATAAATAAATGGAACAACAAGTCAATGTTTCTCTCTCTTCCTTCCTCTCTCTAAAAAATCAGTAAATAATTTTTTTTCAAAAAAGGAGTAAATAGTTTACACTTTTCCTCCTCAATCATAGGGTAAATAGCTTCAATCACCCTGCTCCAGGAGATAGATGACAGAAAGCCAGTTAGTGCCAGTTGTGCCATCCACACCCAAGAATGGAATAAATCTTATTTGGGGACATCAGCATAAAGCTAATGAATATTCTATTAAGATCCTCCCCTAAGACTTCCTCTAAACACCCAGTCATTATTTATTTGTATTTGTTTGTTTAAAGATTTTATTTATTTTTAAAGAGAAAGGAAGGGAGGGAGAAAGAGAGGAGGGAGAGAAACATTGATGTGTGAGAGAGATATAGATATGCTGCCTCTCATGCACCCCTAAGTAGAGACCTGGCCTGCAACCAGCCAAGGCTGTTTGTTTTTATTGAATTGAAGCATTTATAGAATCGTACACCTGATACCTATATAATTTTATTAACTCCCAGTCTTTAAAACCCTCAAGACTAAGGACCCAGTGCACGCTCTCTGATCAGGGTGCATGCCCACGCCTCTCCCTTCCTCCTCTTCTTCCCTCCAGGTGCCTTTCCTCTGCCCTTCTCGCCAGTTCCAAGGGCCCTTCTTCTGCCTCTGTAACTTGTTTCCTGAGCCTACACAACTCAGCTGGCTCACTTTACCACGTCTGTAACTTTCTAAGTAAACTTTCTCTTATAATTTGAGTTCCTGGATCTGAATTATTTCTTTGCCAAATTCAAGAACAAAGGTCCAACTTTGCCAGTAAGATCTTGTGCCATTTCATTGCCAATGTCATCAGTAACATTTGCAGCATCTGAAGAGTAGGTGCCTCCTTATGCCTCTTTAAAATTTACCCTGAGTATCTCATTGTCCTCATCCCTAAGTCCGAACCCTCTCAGGGGAAACACGAATGAACAAATGAGCGAATGAATGACTGAATGAGCAAGCCAACCTACATGGCCCACCATTCTCATAGAACTGTTATAAGGGTAAAGAGAACCTGTGGATCTAAAAGCACTTTTCCAACTTTGAAGCACTGAACAAAATTTGCAGGGGTCTATGACTGGCAATACTAAAAATAATGCGTTTCTGCACTGGCTGGTGTGGCTCAGTGGATTGAGTATCGGCCTGTTAACCAGAAGGTTGCTGGTTCAATTGTCAGTCAGGGCACATGCCTGGGTTGCAGGCTGGGTCCCAAGTAGGGGGTGCTCGAGAAGCAACCACACATTGATGTTTCTCTCCCTCTCTCCTTTTCCTCCCCTCTCTCTGAAAATGAAATAAAAAATAAAATAAAAATCTTAAAAAATAATGCATTTCTTCTTTTCATTTTTTAAATAAAATTAATGGTTGTTCACTAAAGGGAACTTGAGGAATGCAGAAGAAATGTAATAAAACAAGTCACACTGTATCCTATTAAGGTACTTTCCCTTCTCACCACCCCCACACACACACATACACACAGGTGTGGTTCTGGGTGCAGTTGTCACCAGGCTGTAAGATTTTGCAGCCTGATCCTATTTATTAACTTTATACCATAAGCTTTTCCAGTTGTCATAAGCTCTTTATAAATGTTTTTTTCGAATGGTTACAAAGTATTCTGCTGAGTTTACTGAAGTGAGAAAGGCATTTTATTTAACTAGGAATAAAATAATCACGCTTCAATTTTGGGGTTTCAGAAATCACAAAGCAAGAATCTATGTAAACATCCAGTCATGCATTCATTCATTCATTCATTCAACACAATATGATTGGGCACTACTGTATTCCAGGCCTGTGACGAGCTCTAGAGACCCTGTGGTGAGTAAACCAGAAGCCCATGGAGCTTTTCTATTTGAAAAATACAAACATAAGTGAGTGAGGAAGGGGGCCAAGGGATGAAGCCCAGGAGAACATGACTGAGGGCTGCGGTGCTGGGCTAGGGGTTTGGACTTGGCCCTAAGAGCCATGGGCACAATGCTAGACCTCAGGGCCAGGAGGGACAGAATCATGTTGCACAACGCCCTTCCTCTGAAGGAGTGGGGATGGGTGTGACAGTTTCCTGCAGAGCGAAAGCCTCCAGGAGAGTGCCCTGTTAGGATGGAAAGTTCCTTGAGTTGCAACTTTTCGTCACTGGAAACCCCAGGACAGTTTCCAGGACAGTGGGAAGTGATGTCAGCAGGGTCAGGGGCTGCTTCCGACAGCAGAGAGAAAACAGCAGCGAGAAACTATGTTCACGCCTCCCACTCTTGGAGGCAGCATGATGTGTCACAAGAAAACCAGAAGCACAGGGCTGCCCCGGAACGCCATGGCTGTGGGAACTCAGCCACGGCCCTTAACCTCTGTGGGTTGCATTTCCTCCCAGGCAATGCAGGAAAAATTAAGAACTAAACTCTAAGTGCCTGTAGTTTGGACATCCTAGCTCCATGAAAATGATGTATCTTAAGGTACTGACTTAGTAACATCTAACTACACCTGTGAAACAGGGTCCAAACAAGATGGGGACCTCGGGGGGGATGAAGCACTGCTGTGGGCCCTGTTACATACACCTCTTTTCTCCACAAACAAAGGTAATAGAACATTTGGAAAATGAGAGAAAATCAAAGTCCCCATGACATCCCACTTCAAAAATATCAAGAAAAGCACTGCTTACACTTTTGCTTCTAATCTTCCAGATTTTGCCCTGGCTGGTGTGACTCAATGGATTAAGCACCAGCCTGCAAACCAAAGTGCTGCTGGTTCGATTCCCAGTCAGGGCCCATGCCTGGGTTGTGGGCCAGATCCCCAGTGGGAGGTGTACAAGAGGCAACCACACATTGATGTTTCTCTCACTCTCTTCCTCCCTCCCTTCCCCTCTCTAAAAATAAATTAAATCTCTAAAAAAATTTTTTAATCTTCCAGATTTTTCTATCAATATAAAAATACATGCTTATGTCAGCAGGACAGTTTCAATGATGGTCTAGGCCCAGGCTTTGGATTCAGAGGCCTGGGTTCTAATACTATCTCTGCTACTTACTTGCTGTGTGCTTGGGAAGGCCCTTCACCTCTCCCTGTGCTGCAGTTTCCTCATCTGCAAATGAGGATAACAGCACCTGCCTCAGAGGTTGTTGAGAGGATTAGATTACTTATATGTATAGAAGCACTTGGAATAGTGGTTGGCACGTGGTAAATGAGATATGAATGTTAGCTGTAATTACTAAACTAACTACACTCTTCAAAAAACCTGTTTTTATCCCCTTGGGTTAACACCATGTGGAAACCATCCCCCCAGGTGTGAGTTCCTGAATCCTTCAGGAGATCACCTGATGGATGCAGTGGAAAAGCTTGCCCTTCTTCAAAGTCTTCAGGTCTTCTCTGGAGCAGACCTGACACAGCCTCCTGAACTGACCCCCCCTAGGGTTGAATGCCCCTTGTCTGACTGAGAGAAGGGGAAAGCACTAAGGACCGTCCCCACCACCATGTCCCCTAAGCTTCTCAGCCTTTCATCTGCATTTTACAGGTGAGGAGAGTCACGTGCCTGAAGTCACACAGCTGGGAAAGGACAAAGCAGGGCTCTGCACAAAGACTGGTACGTGCACGAGTGAGCAAGATGAGTGAGCAAGATGAGGAGCAAGAGGGACCCCTGTCCCTGGGTCCCTCAAAATACACCCAGGGTGGGTGAAGCTGTAAGAAGCCTGCTTTCCCCCAAGGGCAAAAGTGGATGCAGCTGCAATGACAGGGAAATGACCGGGAGGCAGCTATGTTATTTGTCAAAAACTCTCAGATTAAAAGATCGTGCATATTTGTGGCTGTGTGGTTCTGAGTCACTTTAAGGGTGTTCCCAACCCCATTCCCCAGGACCTCAATCTGCCCTAAGGGGCTAAAATGATTGCAGAAGCCAAGATTCGCTAGGCCTGGAAGGACAATCGGAGTCACTGGTTCTGCTGAAGAGGAAATCCGAGAGTGTGGTGACTTGGCAAGGACCAGCTAACTGGGGGCACGACTGGCTCCCAGCCCAGTGACCCCCGATCAACACAAAGAGCTGGCTGACCGTGGGCTCAAAGCCATCTCTATGGAGCAAGAAGTGGACATGCCCCACGTCCTCACCAGTCATACAACCTCCAGCTCATCATACATTCAAGTGGTCACTGATATCTGCCTTCGGCCAGGGGCTGTCCCAGGCTCTGGGAATAGAGGAGTGAAATGGACATTGCCTTCAGGTCCCTGTCTTCATGGTGAGGTCCCTGCCTTCATGGCGCTGACACTCTCTGGGAAGAGACCAGCCAAATGTGGAACAAGGTCATGTCAAAGCTGTTAAGTGGAATGAAGGAAATAAAACATGGTGATGGGGTTGAGAACAATGGGGCAGGCCTCTTGAACAAGGTGACACAGGAACTGAGACCTAAAGGGCTACGGCCCTGCCAAAGGTGCCAGTGTCCTAGACCCCAAAATCTGGGAATATGGCATCTTACATGACAAAAGGGAATTTGTAGATGGAATCAGGTTAGGGCAGGGGTGTCAAACTCATTTTCACTGGGGGCCGCATAAGTCTCGCAGTTGCCTTCAAAGGGCTGAATGTAATTTCAACTCCTTAACAGTTAAGGAATAGTTACATTTATACAGTCCTAAAATTATTTTGGCTCTTTGAAGGCAACCACAAAGCTGATGTGGCCCCCAGTGAAAGTGAGTTTAACACCCCTGCATTAGGGTTTTAAAATGAGATTATCCTGCATTATCTGGGTGGGCCCAGTGTCATCACAATGGTCCTTCTAAGAGGAAAGCAGGAGTGTCAGATTCAGAGAAGATACGATGACAAGGGCAGGGGTCAGAGAGAAATCTGACAGTGTTATGCTGTTGGCTTTGAAGGAAGGGGCCGCAAGCCACAGGACACAGGCAGCCTCTAGAAGCTGTAAAGGCAAAGAAATGAATCTCCTTTCCCAGGGCCCCCAGAAAGAGTGCAGCTCTGTTGACCCCTTGATTTTAGGACTTCTGACCTCCAGAATTATAACAGAATATATCTGTGCTGTTCTTAAGCCATTAAATTTAGGTTAATTTGTTATAGCAGCAAGAGGAAGCAAATACAGACTAGAAAGCCAGTCTTGGGGAGTGCAGAAAGAAGACTGTCCCAGGCAGAGGAAAGAGCAAGTGCAAAGGCCCTTAGTCTGAACCAAGGAGGCCAGTGCGGCTGGAGTAGGGTGAGCAAGAGGGCGCACAAGGACAGGAGGTCAGAATCAGCATGGTCAGATTGCATCAGATTGGGCAGGCCTGGTGAGGAGTTTGGATTATACCCTAAACCGCAATGGAAAGTCTCTTAGGACTTTGAGCAATTCTAGTGTCTCCAGGGCCTAAAAAGTTGGAGGTATTCCCCAGAGAGGGTGTACAAAAGGCCAGTAAACACATGAAAGATGCTCAACAGCATTAGTCATTAGGGATACACAAATGAAAACCACGAGACACCCTGTCACACCTACTCCAACAGCTAGAACCGAAAGAAAAGGCAATAACAAGTGTTGATGAATATGCAGAGAAACGAACCCTCATACACTGTGAAACTAACCCTCAAGCACTTTGGAAAACAGTCTGGTAGTTCCTCAAAATGTGAAACGGAGAGTAACCTTATGATTCAGTAATTCTACTCCCAAGACATATACCCAAGGGAAATGAAAACATATGTCTGCACAAAAACTTGCACATGAATGTGCACCAGAGCACCGTCCACAACAGCCAAAAATCGAAAAGAATCCAAATGTCCATCAACTGATAAAATGCAGTATGTCCATACCATGGAATATTATTCAGTAATAAAAAGAAAGTAAGCACTGATTATGCTTCAATGGGATGAACCTTCAACACATGCTAAATCAAAGTCAGTTGTAAAGAACCACATATTGCCCTGGCTGGTGTGGCTCAGTGGATTGAGTGCAACCAGTGAACCACAGAGTCACTGGTTCGATTCCCAACCAGGGCCCATGCCTGGGTTGCAGGCCAGGCCCCTAGTAGGGGGTGTGGGAGAGGCAACCACACATTGATGTTTCTCTCCCTTTCTTTCTTCTTCCCTTCCCCTCTCTCTAAAAGTAAATAAATAAAATCTTTTTAAAAAGAACCACATATTGTATGATTATATTTATATAAAATGTCCAGATTAGGCAATACCTAAAGCAAGGGAAAATGAGAGGTGTGTGTGGGAATGTGGGGTGACAGTTAATGGGTATGGGATTTCTATTGAGGGTAAGTAAAATGTTCTAACATTGATTGTGAAGAGGGATGGACAACCCTGTATATACTAACTGCCACTGGATTGTACACTTCAAATGGGTAAATTGTATGGTATGTGAATTATATCTCAATAAAGCTGTTTAAGAAAATTCGTAAGTGTGCCTTCTACATCAATTTCCTAGTAGTTGTTCTGGCATTCACAGTTAAGGCCAACAGGAAAAAAAAACTAGAGGGAGTCTCTGACACAAAGTTTGCCCACTGCCCAGGAAACATTCACAGTAGTTCAATCACAGATCACCCCAGCAAAGGAACGCAGTGTAATCTGGAAAATCAGGTAGCAACCCACATTCTCAGAGGGGCCCTGACAAGTTACCACTGACTGTCTCTAGGGAGAGAAACAGGGAGGCTGAGGACCAGGGGAGGGCAAGACACTTACCTTCCTCTATCACAGGCTTATTATTTATATCACTTAACCCAGTGCATTTGTTACTTTTATCCATCAAAAATAATTAATAAAAACACACTGAAAATAAATCCATGTTGCTAGAGAATAATGCTTGACAAGAAGAAATAATTGTAATATATTCTAAGTGAAAAAGTAGACCATTAGAATGTTCAAAATGATGATTTTTGAAAAATGTACACACATAAATAAATGATTTTTTAAAAAAGCTAGAAGGCTCAAACACGTAGCACTCTGGTAGCACATGGTAAGAAGCCAATAAATGTTAGCTACTGTTGTTGTTTTCTTTTGTTTTGTTTTCAAGTCCTCACCCAAAGATATGTTCATTGATTTTTGAGAGAGAAGAATGGGGAGAGAGAGAGACAGAGACAAAGAGAGAGAAACATTGATGTGGGAGAGAAACATTGATCGGTTTCCTGCCAAAAGTACCCTGACCAAGGATCAAACCTGCAACCTAGGTATGTGCCCTGACCAGGAATCGAACCCACGACCTTTTGGGGTACTGGACAATGCTCCAACCAACTGAGCCACCCAGCCAGGGCTGTTGTTTTTAAAATTATTATCAGTGGGGGGAAAAGGCAGAAAACTGTACTTGAACAACAATAAAAAATGTTAAAAATAATTACTGGTATCCAATATTAAAAATGGTTATCCCTAGTGGTAGAATTTGAGCTTTGATTCGTTGTTTTCCACAGCATTTTGCAGTAAGCACTTATTATTTTTGTTACTGGTTTAAAGCAGGGTTTCTGAACCTCAGCACTATTGACAGTTTGGGCTAGATAATTCTTCATGGCAGGGGGGACTGGACTGTCCTGGGCACTACAGGATGCACAGCAACATCCCTAGCCTCTGCCCACTGCTTCTCCCAAGTTGGGACAACCAACAATGTCTCCAGACATTGGCAAATGTTCCCAGGCAGCAAAACCACCCCTGGTTGAGAACAGCTAGGTTAAAATAGATGTTATTTGCTCAAACTGATTAATAACACACACATGTTCGTTTCTCTCAACTGAGTGTGTGTGTGTGTGTGTGTGTGTGTGTGTGTAAAATGTGGTGTATGTTATCTAAATTTTAAAGAAAGGATAGATAATTATTTAAAAAGTAAATACATGAGTGACACTGGCTTAAAACATAAAACAGCCCTGACTAGTGTAGCTCAGTGGATTGAGTGCCAGGCTGTGAACTGAAAGGTAGCTGGTTGCTGGTTCAATTCCCAGTCAGGGCACATGCCTGGGTTTAGGGCCAGGTCCCCAGTAGGGGGTATGCAAGAGGCAGCCAATCACACAATCAATGTTTGTCTCTCCTTTTCTCCCTCCCTTCCCCTCTTTCTAAAAGTAAATAAATAAAATCTTTTTTAAAAACTAAGGATGATTATTGTTAATATTTGTAATTGATTTGAGAGCAAGGGAGAGGAATGGAAAGAAAGATTGCATTGTTATTCCACTTATTTATGCATTCACTGTTTTTTTTCTTGTATGTGCCCTGACCAGAGATCGAACCCACAACCTCAGCATATCAAAATAATGCTCTAACCAACTGAGCTAGGTGGCCAGAGCCACAGATGATTATTTGTTATACTTCCTTATTACTTACAAGATTTTCTGACACTTAAGTGTCAGGAGCTTTTTATACAACTTTCAGTTCTCACAACCTCTATTTTACAGAACAAAAGGCCGAGGCTCAGAAAGGTTAAAGAAAACACCCACAATCACCAGCTGGGAGGTGGTGGCCTGGAATGCAGACCTCTACTTGGGAACCTGAGGACCAAGGCACAGCCTCCCCCTAGATGCCTAGTGCTCTCAGCAGACAAACAAAACACACCAAGGAGTTACAAAGTCCTGGAGGAGCCAGACCCTGGATTCAAATACCATTCTTTCACTTAACCAAGCTATGCCCCAGGCAAGTGACTCTACCTTTCTAAATCGGTTTCTGCCTCCGTAAAACGGGGTAAGAGAAATATGAAATATGCACTTTATAGGCGGAGACTAGGTGAGATAATGCCTGTCAAGTGCTTACATCAGGGCCCGGCACACTGATAGCTTACGTTAAGTGCTCATAGCTATTATTATCAGCTTTACTGTTAACAGCACAGTCAAGCCGGTCATTACTTAGCGACAGAGTGACAGCAGAAATCTTCCAAGATCACAAAATGCCTTCCAGACGATCGCACTAGGGTCCATAGAGGGGCCAGTGACCTGCCTGCGGGCACACAGCGAGGCCCGGGTCCAGATGACAGTATGCAGAGCCAGATCAGGACCCACTTATAGAGAGGCTATGAGAGGGCTTGGAGGCCCCCCGGCGGGGGCGCTAGGGAACCCACTCACCAAAATGCATCCAGTCCCAGTCGCTGAGTGTGTCTATGTTGCGGCACAGGTCATCCAGCACCCAGGAGGGCAGCTGGTAGATGTAGCAGGACATGACGAGACTGCGAAGGCCAGCGGAGAAGCTCGGGGGAGACTGAACCACACGCTTCGGTGAGAGTCCACTTCTCTATCCCAGCACTGGCCCTTCCCACCCGGCCCGCCTCCCCTCCCGGGGAAGTGGGCGGGGCCGGCGCTGGGCACCACTGCCATCCAGCGGCAGCGATCTGCCGCGCTACTTCGTGTGGTTGGCAGGACCAGAGCAGCTGTGAAACCAAAATGGTCAGAGCTAGGAAAGGAAACTGAGGCCCAGGATGGAGAGGAGACAAAGTTAAGGCCATCTGGGAATTCCGTGGCAGTCCTAGGAGGACTTCTAACTCCATTTCCAGTGCTTTTGGCGCTCTGCCACATATAATTAATTCAACAAATATTCTATTAATTACCTCCCATTCTACAGATGAGGAAACTGAGTCTTAAGTCAATTGTAATTCGGTCAAGCAAAATTCGCCAAGTGACACAGGATTCAACCCAAATATGACTCCAAAGGAAGTGCTCTTTTGGCTCTGTTATATTGTCCCAGCACAATAATTTTCTCATGATCCCACACAGTTAATTTCTTCCCCTAATTTACTATTTCCAAGGCCAACACCCTCTCTACCAGTTAGAAACAGTTATTGAGACTGAATACAATTAGTTGCATAGTTATGTCATTTTGACCTGCTCACATTAAATTTCCTTGAAATGACAGTCAGTGATTTGCAATCCCAACTGCACATCAGGAGATTATCTGGAGATTATCTGGAGATTTTATCTGGAGATATTATCTGGAGATTTTTTAAAAAGTGTTTAAACATGTTTACTGACTTGAGAGAGAGAGGATGGGAGAGAGAAATATCTACATGAGAAACATGGATTGGCTGCCTTCCATATGCACCTCAACCAGGAATCAAACCCACAACCCAGGTATGTGCCCCTATCAGGAATCCAACCCCCAAGCCGCTGTTGCACAGGATGACACTCCAACCAAGTGAGCCACACCAGCCAGGGCCATCTAGGGAAATTTTAAAAAATTATACATGCCCACCCTAACATCCAGAGATCCACTCAATTGTTCTGGGTGGGGTTCAGGCACATGCATTTTAAAAAACTTCCAGGTAGCCCTGGCTGGTGTGCCTCAGTGGACTGAGTGCTGGTCTGCAAACCAAAGGGTTGCTGGTTCGATTCCCAATCAAGGCATGTGCCTGGGTTTTGGGCTGCATCCCCAGTGGTGGGGGTTCAAGAGGCAACCACACATTGATGTTTCTCTCCCTCTCTTTCTCCCTCCCTTCCCCTCTCTCTAAAAATAAATATTTTTATTTATAAATATTTTTAGAGAGGGGGAAGGAGAGGGAGAAGATGAGAAACATCAATGTGTAGTTGTACCTTGCGAGCCCCCTACTGGGGACCCAGCCCACAACCCGGTCTTGTGCCCTGATTGGGAATCAAACCAGCAACCCTTCGATTTGCAGTCTGGTACTAGATCCACTGAGCCACGCCAGCCAGGGCTAAATAAATAAAATCTTTAAAAAGCTTCCAAGTAAAACTAATTATGTGCTGACAGAGTCAAGAAACAATGTTAATCAGGAAATTTGGGCATGAAGATAGATTGATAAAGAGCAAATAATAATAAAGCTTCTCTGTGGACTTCATACATACTTTTTCTTTTCTTTTTTTTTAAGATTTTATTTATTTTTTAGACAGAGGAGAAAGGAGACAAAAAAGGGAGAGAAACATCGATGTGATTGGCTAACTCTCGGAGGCCCCTTAATGGGGGACCTGGCCTACACCCAGGCATGTGTCCTGACCAGGCTTCGAACCAGTGACCTTTCCATTCCTAGTACTCCAGCACTCAACTGCTGAGGCATGCCAGCCAGCACTATTTTTCCCTTTTCCAATAAAATATCTTTATTGGTTTTTCTGAGAGTACATGACCATTGTCCAAAAGGGGAAATGAAGTGAATTACGAAATAAACCCACCCTTGTCTCTCCTCCTCTTGTGTAGGGAAAAACCCACTTCTCTCTCTTCTCCTGTTGGGGAGGGGCATTCCCACCCCTCTACCCTTCTTTAGTTCTTATGGCTGCTCTAGTAATAATAAAATTGACATAAGCTAGGTTAACAGGAGAAAACCATATTTAACCAGCACATGGGAGAATCACAGTATGATGCTCAGTTGATAAAATGAGGCTCAAAAATTGATCAAACTGGTTACATTTTATATTATTTGGACAAAGAAACAACTGTGTGAGAAATTGACAGAACAAAAACAAAGTTCAGTGCTACAGAGGAATCTGAGCAAGTTTTGTGGACTCTTTTAAGAATGGCACTATAACTTCAAGGCCACTGTAATCAGAACAGCATGGTACTGGCATAAGAACAGACATATAGACCAATGGAACAGAGAGCCCAGAAATAAACCCATGTCTCTATGGTCAATTAATATTTGACAAAGGGAGCACTAGCATACAATAGAGTAAAATTAGCCTCTTCAGTAAGTGGTGTGGGAAGAAGTGGGCTGGTACATGCAAAAACAATGAAACTGGACCACCAACTTATACCATATACCAGAATAAACTCAAAAGTGGATAAAAGACTTAAACATAAGTTGGGATACCATAAAAATCCTAGTGAAGAAACACAGGCAGTAAACTTTCAGATATCTCACATAGCAACATTTTTGCCAATGTATCTCCTAGGGCAAGGGAAATAAAGGGAAAAAATAAACACATGGGACTACATCAAGTTAAAAATCTTCACGGCTAAAGACACCATCATCAAAATGAAAAGGGAACCAATCATATGCAAAAACATACTTCCCAGTGATACAGCAGACAAGGGTTTAAGCTATAAACTATATAAAGAACTCATAGGACTCAACACCAGGAAGACAAAGAATCCAGTTAAAAAATGGGCAAAGGACCTGAATAGACACTTCTCCAAGAAGGACATACAGAGGGCCCATAGCCATATGAAAAAATGCTCAACATCACTAGCCATCAGAGAGATGCAAATTAAAACCACAATGAGATATCACTTCACACCTGCCAAAATGGCTATTGTTAATAAGATGACAAATAGCAAGTGCTGTCGAGGATGCAAAGAGAAAACTAGTGCACTGTTGGTGGGAGTGCAGACTGTGGAAAACAGTATGGAATTCCCTCAGAATTAAAAGTGGATCTGCCATTTGACCCAGCGATTCCACTACTGGGAATATATACTAAGAATCGCAAAACACCAAATCAAAAGAACTTTTTCACCCTGATGTTCACAGCAGCACTATTTACAATAGCCAAGATTTGAGAACAGCCTAAGTGCCCATCAGTAAATGAGTGGATCAAAAAACTGTGGTACATTTACACAATGGAATACTACACAGCAGAAAGAAAAAGAAGGGATTCCTGCTTTTTGTGACAGCATGATTGGAATTGAAAACTATTACGCTAAGTGAAGTGAGTCATTTGGTGAAAGACAAATATCATATGATCTCACTTATAATAGGATCTAATGAACAAAATAAACTATTGAAAAAAAATAGAACCAGAGGAATGGAATTGGGTAATAGACTGACAGCTGTAAGAGGAGAGTGGGATTACTGTGAGTAACTGAAAGAAGGTGAAGAGATTAGTCAAAGAACATACATGAAGGACCCATGGACATGGACAACGGTGTGGGGATTGACTATGGAAGTGGGGGGTAGGCTGGGTGGAGGGTGGTGAAGGGGGAAAATGAGACATCTGTAATAGCATAAAAAATAAAACATCAAAAATGAAAATAAAGAATATAAAGAAAGAAATTTAAATAAATAAATACAGATCCTCGGGCCCCAGCACAGATTCACTGAATGAGATTCTGAGGATAAAGGGCCTGGAATCTAAATTTGCAACAAGCTCTGCAAACCTGAATCCATAAAGTTTGAAAACCACTAGACTAGACAGCCCCTGAGGTCTCTTCCCCAAAGAGGAAAAGAAAAAAAAAAAAAGAATAGCACCATACTATTTTATTTCAACTCTCTAACAAGAGAATGAGGTGAGAACTTCTGATACTGACTTCAGATCAAGATAGAGGTATAAGTAGACACGCTTCACCTCCTTGCACAACCACAAGAAGAATTACAACTAACCTCCAAACAAATAACTCACAGAACTACCAGAAAATTGAACTGTGTGGAAGTATGAAAACCAAGGATGTAAAGAAGCCAAATTCATCCAGACGGGTAGGAGGGGTGGAGACTCAGAGTCAAGTCAGAGAGGCAAGGAGTTGTGGTGTGGCACAGGAAGGTGGCAGCGATGGAGAGGGTGGTCCCACATTCACGTGTGGTACCTAAAAACAAGGAGGGATATCTGGGGACAAAGTGATCCTAGCCCAAGGCCAGACCACACAGGCCAGGGTTCCAGCACCAGGAAGATAAAGCCCCATAACTTCTGGCCATAAAAACCAGTGGAAGCATTTGGAAGAAATGGCCAGACCCTCAGGAGAGTCAGTTTAAAGGACCTGTATGAACTTAGAATGTACACAAACCCACCCACTCTGGCATTCACCACCAGGGCAACAGCTAGAAGGACATCAGTCGCATACAGGAAGTGGGTGAAGTGATTGGAAAAAGGATGTGTACCCGGGAAACCTCCAGAAACCAGGCAGCAGCACCGTCCCCAACCCCTCCTCCCACACAGAGCCACAAAGTGGTGAGGCAGGCTGCCCCTCCCTGGCAAATACCTAAGGCTTCACCCCATACAACTTAACAGGTGCCCTAAGACAGGGTATCAAAGCAGCTCTACCTAATACACAGGAACAAACATAGCAAGAGTGTCAAATTGAGGAGACAAACAAATATGGCTCAAATGAAAGAACAGAACAAAACCCCAGAAAAAGAATTAAATCAAGCAGAGATAGCCAACCTATCAGATGCAGAGTTCAAAACACTGGTGATCAGGATGCTCAGAGAACTCACCGAGTACAGCAACAACATGAAGGAAGAAATGAAAGTTACAGTAAGTGGAATAAAGACAATCCACACAAAACCAACAGTGAAGAGAAGGAAGCCAAGTTTCAAATCAATGATTTGGAACATAAAAAAGAAATAAACAGTCAACCAGAACAGAAAGAAGAAAC